CTCCAAACTTGCTGGTTGACCTCTTCACATTTCTACCTGGCAGCATGACCGAGAACCTCCCCAGGGCCAGAGAGTCTGATGCACCTCTGAACTGGCACCAGCAGGCTGCCCTGCTGCACTCTGCTGGGCTCACACCTCTGGCTTCTACTGACCATGCAGAGGGAGGGGTCCTCGGGAGCACTGGCTGGGCACCTGGAAATACCATACAAAATGACATGACAAAGAAGAGTGTCTGTCTAGTATGTGTCAAGGTCCGCGTTGCCTCACAGCACTGTAAATAAGTAAACGAATAAGAAGAAAAGGTAAGTAAGTTTACTGAGAAGATCAATCCCTACAATCTCACGGACAAAATAAATTATTTGGTTTTTTTCTTTTTTGCCCCTTTACTAGTGGGGACTAAACCTAGGGTCTTCTCCCTGAGCTACATTCATAGTTCTTTTAAAATCTGGAGAGAGGCTTTTGCTAAGTTACTACATTACCCAGGCTAGGTTCAAACTTGCAATCCTCCTCCCTCAGCTTCCCAGAGTGCAGGGCTGCAGGGTGCCCCATTGTGCCCAGAAACAGTTATTTCCCAGGTGTTACTACAGCATCAAAGTCTCCCCAGAATTTGTGTGTGGGAAACTAATGAATAGGAATGACTGCAACATTAGAACACACTGTTGTGCTGTGCTTTTTTTCAAGAGTCTGCATGGAACAATAGGCAGAGAAAGAAGAAACAAAGGTGAGGCCACAGGAGATCTTCTTACTTGTCTGGGTCAGGAGCACATCCATGGTTTCCTTTAAGAGGTCACTGCTCTGCAGCAGGTCTCATGGACACATCTCCTAACCATCTTCCAGCTGTACCTCACAACCCCATCTCTGAGTGTCTTCCTCCAGGGCATAGCGGCATTCCTGGCTGTCACCAGCTCTGGGCTTTAAGACCTGCTCCCTGTCTGCACCATCTTCCCTCTCCCTCAAGACATGCTGAGTGTCAGGTGGCATCTGAGGAGATTCAGGTAGTGAGCCTCTGCTATGCAGTGCTCTGTGCCTGGTAGGGCTCACGAGGCATTAATCTGAGCCACAATGAGAATAAGGAGTCCGTCCTGGGAAATGATCTCGTTTAACAGCAGAAACCAGCTTCATACTCCATAGCTAAAATGCATGCATATCAAGTAGCAGAGAGCTTTGTAGGAACTGGAGCACTCTGACACCCTAAGTGCTCTGGAGAGGCCCTCCCCACTCTGAACCAACACAGAAACAAGAATGACCCTGAGGAGAAGGGAGTCACTGCAACTCATCACACCCTGCAGATAGTGTATTTAACGCCAAAGCTAGTCTTTCATGGGAAGCTGTGTAAGGGTTTGCAAAATGAGGTGGGTGAGGGGGCTGCAGATTTAGCTCAGCGGCATAAGCGCCTGCCTTGCAAGCAGGCAGTCATGAGTTCGATCCCCGGTACCGATAAAAAGGAAAAAGACCAAAAAAAAAAAAAAAAAAGAAAAAAAGAGGTGGGTGGGTTTTTTCTTCCGAGAGTTAGAAAAAAGGCTGGAAAGAAAGTAAAAAAAGGAGAGAAAATGGTCACGACAACCTTGACCCTTCCCTGGCCCGAGAGCCCTACCTTCCTTCTAGGACTGTGTATTAAACTCTAAGTTAGGACTCCTTTCAGAAAGTCCCCCGGCCAACACAATGCTACATGAAGCCCAGAAGCTACTTCTTTAGTCTCCAAATCTCAGTAACAGTTTGTGCCAGTTTGCCTGCAGCACTGCTCACATTTTGAAAGCCCATAAACAGGGGAGGTGAGTGGAGAGCAAAGACAGCAGGGAGGCAAGGGACGGGAGACTGCAGCAGTGGTGGGATGGGGCCACAGCGGGGTGAACAGGGCTCCTCTGGGAAGTGGCCTGGCAGGAACAGCGAGCTTCACCTTTGCGAACTCAGGACCGCACCTACACCCCTACGTATCGTCAAGTCCACAGATGAGTGGGGAATTTCACACCGGAAACTGTTCCCAGATGTCAACATTCTTTCTCCTAACCTCAGAGTCCACTACCTCCTTCCTTCACTGGAATACGCGAAGCCAGACTGTCACAGGTGAATGTGGCACTAGCCAGGCAGGAAGAGGCAGTGTTGGCATGGAAGCAAGTCGCTTCTACTCCTGACAGAAAGGCACTTATAGGGAACAATGCAAAGTACACAATTACAGACAGAACAATCTAACAATCTGAGAACGTACCTGAAAACATGGGAGCATTTTTCCAAATTCTACAGAGAATTCCAGCAGATTTGCAACCAAGTGGTATCTATTCCAGTGTGTCTGTCCAACACATACATGCACACACCACACCTTTGCGCAGGGGGAGGAGATGCTAGACTGAGCTCAGGGTCTTTACACTGAGCTAAATTCCCAGGCCCCACCCCTAAATTCTGAGACACAATCTCACCAAGTCATCCAGGACTGAACTTGCCTCAGCCTCCTAGAGTTATGGGTTTACAGGTATGTACTACCACATCCAGCTACATATGCCTATTTAGAAGTGCCCATCTTCACTCATTCATTCATTTAGCACCAAAAACATAAAAAATGTACCTTTTTTTGAGACAGGGTTTTGCCACATGATAGGGTGGCCCTGAACTATGTTGCCCAGGCTGGCCTCAAACTCGCAGTGATCCTCCTGCATCAACCTCCTAAGTGCTGGGACTACAGGAGTGCACCACTGCATCTGGCAAGTAAGATACTTTCTCAAGGAGTTCAAGATTGGTTTGTATGTACAGATAACAATAACTGAAGCATCATTTGTTTTAACAGGACACTCCACAGAATTCTAAGCAAGGAAACTGTAATTGATAAATTCCATTAAACAATGAACTGCAGTAGTACTGTTACTAAGTGAAAGATGGGAAGAATAACGCAGGGTCTCACCCTCTACATGGCTTTTTAATCCCAAGCAGTAACATTATGCTCTGATGGATCAGCATTGGATGGCCCTTACTTTGTGAAGACCACTATGGCCACCTCAATTCCAGCTATTTGAGATCTTAGGGGAAGGTGGCATGCCTATTTCTTTACTTTATGGTATCTAAGACCCCAAGCACTATGGAGACAAAGGAGACACTAACTGTGCCATTCCTTTTGTGAAAGGAAGAAGCAATGAGATGTTGGCTAACGTGCTCCTCCGTAACGTCTGCAGATGGCAGATCTGAGTGTTGTACCATACAGTGCCCTACTTGACCACCTTACTGATCCACTGCACAGGCCACACGACACTAAACATTGGAGGGGGTCCTTCTCTGGAGAAGACAGTACACTAAACACATAGCAGACAGTACACTAAACAAACTGCAGAAAACAAAAAGAAACTTGAGGCTTAGGTTCCTTCAGTGATGCCTAGGACAGAAACAGATCTCTGACTATTTACATGTGCTTTAGGTTCTACTTCTTGGAAACTGACCTCTCACTACGATGATAGAAATCAGATACCGTCTCACTTGCTTAAAGGCCTTTGGCTGCTTCCTATATTGTACTTTTTTTTTTTTGGTCTTTTTCATTTTTTATCGGTACCAGGGATCGAACTCACGACTGCCTGCTTACAAGGGAGGTGCTTATGCCGCTGAGCTAAATCCCGAGCCCTCCTATATTGTACTTAAGGATCACACCCACCTTCTCTGGGCTGCTGGCAGGCCCCGGTTCTGGGTCTCCACCTGCCCCTTCTCCCCTCATGCACTGTGCCTCTGTGACACTGCCTTCCTTGATGCTCTTTCAACACAGCCAGCTCTTGCCTGCACCAGGCCTTCACACTTGTTTTTCCCTTTCCTTGAGTTGTCACCTCACTTTCTGATGGCTGGCTCTATCTTACCCTCTGGAGCTCAGCTCCAGGATCTCCTTCTCAGGGAGGCCTTTCTTGGCCATCTCATCCAAAGTGACTCCATCTGAATCCTACTACTTTTTAACACATCCACCAGCTAATTTGTCACAGCACTTTCTGGGCTCTAAAATGATCTTATCTCACTTTTTATAAAAACAGTCTCAAACTTCTACATATAAATCTCCAGAGAGCAGATGACTTATCGTGCACTATCCATGAGCACATATTAATACCTTGAACAAATGTTAGAAAATGGGTGGGGGGGGCTGGAGATTTAGCTCAGTGGCTCAAGCACTTGACTGGTAAGTTCAAGGTCGTGAGTTCGATCCCTGGTACAAAAAAAAAAAAAAAAAAAAAAGTGCTGGCAGCAGAGCAGCAGGCACTGAGTTAAAGTACAAAACATCAAGTCTCCCACCGTCAAGCCAGAAGCTGCTCCATGATGCATATATAGTCACTTCATTAGGGTGTATCCAAGTGGTGATGACATATAAACAGAAGAGGGAGAGCTCTCTGCTAACAACTTAGAAAGAAATGTCAAGAAGAACAAACTCACGCTGGTTCCAACTTTCCCTCCATTTATAATGCTGCTGGTATTTAAAGCAGATTTTCTTTTTTCTAGCAGAGACCAAGGTTTGGTTTCATTTCTCCCCCAAGGGTTGCAGCCCTGCCTCCACCGAGCCAGCATCTGACTCCACTCAGTTGTGCTCACTCCCAAGCTGCTCCAGATACCCCAGGCCTTCACTCTCAACTCAGCTGGGGCTCACTGAAAATACCCATCCAAAGTAGGTGGAGTAAAGGCCTCCCATCCTAACCACCTAAACATGAAGGCAAAGCAGATGCAAAGAGCAGGCCCTTTCTCACAACACCTCGGCCCCAAACATGCGCCTCCCATAAAGGAAAGTTAACGGTATAAAAAGCCTCTGAAAGGTGGATCCCCCGGCAGCCTTTCAGCTAATGTTGTTCATCTCACTGAACCTGATCAATGAGGACAGTGATCTTCACTAATCAGAGATTGAAGACTCCTGAAGGTAGAAAAACACACAGTGGAGAAGCATGAAACATCAATTCAGTTAGCCTTGTCTTACATGTGGTGCTTCCCAGCACACTGGGTCCACACAACCGTGCCCTAAGGCAACTCCATACGCTGCTGAGGGAGGCACTTACGTGGCATGATCCCTTGGCTCACCAGCTCTTCCCGGGTGCGGCGCTGCTGGAGCTTCAACTGCAGCACTGCAGGGCAGCAAAGAGAGAGCAGAGATGAAGCATCAGTTGGGTATTCCACCTCAAGAGACACATTTTCACATGCAAAGAAACTTTAAAGACAGAAGGGTGTAGCATAAAAGAAGGAGCCCTTCAATTGCAACTGTGTGTAATTGCAGAAGTGGCCTGATACAGCATGGTTTCCGTATTCTGCTGTGGGCGGCGAGAGGAAGTTGCGAAGGGTCTTGCAGGGTGATAACAATCCACAAAGTTTGAGAGTCCTGCCTCTTGCTCAAACCCTTCTACAACACTGGGTCCCCCTCTGAGACTGCAGAACACCAATTCTGAGCTCAAAGGAAGTATCATAATGAGGCCCAGCACCCAGCAGAAGGAGCTTTCCAAAGCTGTGTGCTCTCTCAATGAACATTTACACTGTAAGGATGCTGGGTGATGCAGTTACTCTCAGAGACCAGGAAGTACCGAGTATTTATAAAGTGTTTTCTTTTGAATCTAAAAATTACAGCTATTTTCACCAAACAATGTATTTCTCTAGACTATAGGTCCTTTTTGCCAATAATACACTTTATTTCCTCTTCTCTTGAGGCCTTTTTCTGAGTGAAGCTAGGTGACTTTTCATACAAGCTAGATGACTCAAGCACATCCGGGCTAGCAGAATGATGAGTATTTACCCTACTTCTACCCCAGAAACACTGAACTTAATAGGAATTTTTATTAAGTTAAAAATCAATTTTCCCTATTTCAAAAGCCAGAGGAACCTGATGAGTGTGACAACCATGCACCACGCAAAATGATGACAGCACAGCTGCTGCTCAGAGAACCAGTTATTAAAAGCCTACTGAGAAAACATTCAGAAAGGGGTTAAGAGGACCCCCAGGCAAAGGGAAGTCCCCTTCATGACAAATCTTCAATTGTAGGGTCCCTGTCAGTCCTATTTGAGGGGAACCTGCCTCACTGGGAGTCACAATGTCCTAATTTCGGCCTTTTCCACAGAGCAGTGTTTAGGGAGGCCTCTAAGAATGGGAGACTTATAATGAGGCCCCGTCTACATCTCTAACTTATTAATTCAAGTAGAACTCTTCTTTCTCCAAAAAACTTAGCCTGCTTTCCATCCTCAGTGGCAGCTCATGGCTATCCTCTTACTTGGCCTGTGTTGTTCTTCCCCAAGTATCATGAAGCTTTTCCCTCTCTTTCATTCCCCTCCCCTGGAAATGTCTACCTTTCTTTATCTGACCTGGACTCTCCCCTGCACCCAGAATTACTCTGGGCCTCCTGTGAGCTATCCTTGACCCATTAGGAAAGGCATAGGAAGACTTTGCTCTGAGAAGTAGTTATCTCCTAGGCATATCCCTCTTCCTGGTTTATAAACTTGTGGAGGCTGAGGGATGTTTGTCCCCCAGCACTTCCCACAAAGTAGGCTTTTAATAACTAGTTCTTGAATTGAACTGGACCACAAAATGGTAACACACACAGTCTGAGATATGTAACCAAGAGATTATTATTTTACAAATTAACATTTAAAACAAACCTTGAAGAAATAAATAGATAAAATAGCAACAGCCACTCTAGAAGCTGGTATTAAGAGACTGTATTTTGTTCTATATACTTTTGTGATTTCAATCATTTAATCTCCACTCTCGGGTGACAGGTATTGCTAACCTCATTTTACAGAGGAGAGCAAGGCCTAGAAGGATTAAGTAAACATGATCTGGGGCCAAATATTCTGATTCTAGACCCTGAGCTCCTCACATTGCTTTCCAGCATCTTTTGGAAGGTTACTGTATGAGCTAACAGGGCTGGAGTGTGGCTATCTCAGTCATTCTCTGTTACCAGAGGCAGCACAAAAGGGTTGAGGAAAATGGCTGCTTCAGACCAGGGTCAAAGGAATTCAGATGATCAACTTCAGTAAAATGAATTTAAATTAATCTAGAAACTTGATTTCAGAATAAATTATAACATCAGCAACAAATATTATTTTGATAAAATATAAATAATAGGAGCCACTGCATATGTTATGATGTGTAAGACTCTATGTTAAATAACTGATGTGCTTCATTTTATAATTTACTGGCTGTGTAGATTTTCAGAATAAATTACAACAGATCACTGATCCTTCATCTATGAACTATAATGCAACAGTATTTCTATGAGTCTCCTTTGTCCTTAATTATGTTTTAATTCCTTTTAATTCTTTTGAAAAGGTAGGCGTATAGCTCAGTGGTAGAGCACTTGCCTAGTATTGTCCTAGGTTACAGCTCTAGCACTGGAAAGAAAGAGAAGAAAAAAAACAAAAAGCCCTTTGTGGACATTGTAATTATTATGTCCATTTTACAGAAGAGGAAGCTAAAGGGACAGACTTTTAAAATTTTGCCTTGTGCTACATAACTTGAAAGTGCTGGAACTACCGGTAACACTCATTCTCTGTAGCTCCAAAGTGCAAGCAGTTTATAGTGTGCAATACGTCTTTGTAGGAAAAAAATGGGAAAGCCCAGCAAGACAAAGGAGAAAAGGGATAAAAGGGTAACTATTTGTCACAAAGCCCAGTGTAAAATACACTACTCAAAAATGATTAAATTTAACAAATCAGTTTTGTTTTAGGGAATAGGGAAATAAGGCAATTCAATAAGCCTAAATGTTTCAAACAATTAATGAAAGCAGTGGCTACTACCCAAGAATAAGTTTGAATTATCAATCAGTAGTCCTCCTAAATGAACCATATACATGAGTTATGAGGACTTTCATGTAAACTTGCTGAGTGAAAAATGCCTGGCTTCACAAAAACAAGAGAATCTGGGAAAGTTAACAAACTTATTTGTTCTTTAATCAATTTCTGATTCAAGTTTTTCATGGAAAGCACAGTAAAGGCCCACTCACATATATACACAGCTCTAATTCAGAGAAAAAAGCTCATCTAATAAACCTTTTCCATTTCTAAAACTAATGAAAGTTAAAGTTCAGTTACCTGAAAATTCCATCTTGTGTCTCCCAGAATTTAATTTTCTACTCCATACTTACCTAAAATTTGACCAAGTTTCCCGTTAAAACAATTTATTGTGTCTCAAAATTGTCTTGAGTATTAATTCAACCTGACCATAGGTATGTACAACATTCCACAGCCATCTCCAGTTATTTCTGACAGTGTTTATATGGAGGGGGAAAGGCTGAAGCAGGAAACTCTCAATTATGGCCTTTTACCTATGCTTCATTTTATAATTTACTGGCTGTGTAGATTTTCAGAATAAATTACAACAGATCACTGATCCTTTATCTATGAACTATAGTGCAACAGTATTTCTATGAGTCTCCTTTGTCCTTAATTATGTTTTAATTCCTTTTAATTCTAAACTCTCGATAAAATGACTTTACACTTCCAGGTCTTAGGAATTATTTCAGAAAAAATAATGCAGTAGCTCACTTTCAGTAAGTTCCACAGAGTCATATACTATGTGTTCACTACAGAAATCACCCCAGTCAGGAGCACATTTCAGGGGCTACAATAACAATGCTCACTCATTCTCACCAAAATATATAAATACATTAAATATCTAGAATCAGTTCAACTGATTATTTGCACAGACCATACAAGTCTAGGAGATATGAGGGAGTAAGGATTTGACATAATCCATTTCGCTGTATATCACTACTTAATAGCCTCACCATACCCCAAGGCAATAAAAACTGAACAGAAAGACCCACTTGTACACAAGCCTGAGTCTTAATACCTTCACTGTTACTGAACGCCACAAATTCATGTCATCTATTTCTAAACAGATTTATGTGAGCAGCCTATAGACGAACAGATGTTTTCAAAGCTGATAGACAGTCAATCAACCCAGCTGTATACCAGAAAAGAATGGGAAGAATCAAAGAAACAAAAACAAAAAGTGGGAATCCGTAGGTCAGTGGCATAAAACCCATGGCATGCGTGCTGCAGCGGGCGGGCTCACTGAAAGCCCTAACAGGTTTGCCATCACTGCTCTAGACTCTCCACTCCCCATAAGAGCTAGTAAGGTTTTCTCCTGCCCCGAATACTTTTTCCCTTCAGACCATAGCCCCAGAATACATAAGCAAATCCAACTTAAATCAGCAATGGACACAACTACCTCTAGCTTTAAACTGAAGTAAGTGTTTTACCAGGAAGATCAGAGATGGAAAAGTTGGGTTTTAACCTTATTGGAAGCTTGGTATAGTGCTAATTAGAATATTCATCTTTGCAGCGGTGAACTATACGTGTTTTATTGGTTTGCTTACTTTTACATGACTAAAAAATCACTTAGCAACATCCAAATAGTAAAAACAATCACTCAGAACCAGAGGCAATTCTGAACACTCACTAGATTCATTTTTAGGATATAAAATTAAAAGTAGGTGAAGGGTACCCCCAAAAGAGCATATTACTCCAATCTTGTGACCTGGGTTACTTCACTAGCATCATCACTAGTGGAGGGATTGGGAGTTGAGGTGGGGAGAGTATTGCCTTAAGAATTTACTCAATAACTTATAGCCTCTGTTTATATGACACTTTCAGTCCAGTGGGCAAACAGACATCAGTGCAGCAAACAAATATGTACAAGCTGTGATTAATGTTTTAAAGGAGAGAATAGACTACATGAGAGATTGGACACTAGAATCCACAATATTTCTTCCTTTATGCTCTGTGATGACTAACTTCCCATTTACACTCTGCCACTATATAGTGAATTGTTTTAAGATACTAAAGCTCTTTGAAAAACAGAGACTTGACAGAAAGTCCTAAGAATAAGTTAAAGCATACAGTATTCCACTGCTGTATTTTTATTTTTGTAGCTGCTAGGGTTGGGGAAGCAGCTGGTCTGTGTGTCTGCTATATTCAATTCTCTCCTAGCTTTTTAACAAAGTTTCTCTTCTTTAGTATTCATTAAAGAAATGTGAGGGAGACCCTATATGCCAGACACTGCTTGTTGCTAGAGACGACAGATACAGCCCCTACTTGTAGTGGCGTTTACAGTTTCAGGAGGAACAAACATCAAAGT